TAGGGTCTTAACTTGGCACTACTTAGCTCTAAATCTCTCTTTTTCTCTCTATCGTGTTAATATTTAAAATGGATTAACACTTTGAGACGCAAATCATTGATGCAGACTTGTTTTCAGCCTTCCTGTTATTTACCTGTAAATATGACTCGCGCGTCGGGAACTGAGTCATTATGATCGTCTGTGTTGTTCTGGCCATGTTTCCCATCTATCAGCCGTATTCTTTCTGCCCTCACTTCCCATCAGCAGACAAACAAGAAGACAGACAGACACACAAAAAAATTGGCTGCATCATAAACAGCCTGACTAAGTCTGAGCATGACACAGTAGCACAGATCAAAAGTGTTTCTTGGTAATGACCCATTGAGAATATGATTATGTGCAATAACTGTCAGTGGTAATGCATTATTGAGTTGTTATTGAGTAGTTCAAACACTTTCTTGCAAGCTACTCGCAGTAACTCTCTCTGCTGTTGTGATATTTCATGGTTTCGTGCTGTTGTTACTTTGCTTCTTTCCCTGCGTGCTGTGTTGTGTGTGGTTGGTGCTGTCATTGGAACAGACACAGAGCATCAGAACCTACATCTGTGAGTGTGGGTGTGTGTGTATTTAAAGGGCAGGACAATTTAGAAAAACGTTTTTTTATGCACTTCTTATGCAATTTCTGAAGAAAACCTGTTTGAACAGATATTGCTGGACTTATTATACTAGTACTACTGTTGGACTGTAGTGTACGTATATTATTGTTAGAAATATTCATTCTGTAATTGTCTTTCATTGGTTCCTATCACCGCTAAACTTCCTCTGCTAAAGTTTCTTCCAGTTTTTCCTTCCCTTTCCTGTAACTTTTCATTCTTCTCTGTTTTGCTTAGTTCTTCCTTGTTTTAAGAGACTGCAACCGTTGTTGATGTGGATCTGTAAAGCCCATTGAGAGACTCTATGTGATATTGGGATATACAAAGACTTAGATTTGACCTGACTTGTGCTGCAGCTGCTAGCCTCATCCTCCAACATTTCAGTTTGATGTTTTATACATGTAAGAAATGTTTAGCAGCAAAGTAGTACTGCACTTTTACATTTGGGGAAATACACTTTCCTGAAGGAGCTAAATGAGAAGATCTATACCACTCCCATTTATGTCTATTCAATATTAAGCTGGAGCCAAGAGACTGTTAGCTTAGCTTAAAGGCTGGAAGGGGAATGGGGGACAGCTAGCCTGAAGGTAACACAATCCACCTACCAGCGCCTATAAAGTTAATTAATGAATGTTATATCTTGTTTGTTTCATTTGTTGTCATTGTGAGGTTGCCAGGCAACCAGCGGATAGTCCGACACAAAACTCCCCTCAAACCACTAACTGTTACTCTTATACTTTAGTTTTGGTACAGATTAAAGAAACAAGATATAATGTGTTTGTGAGCTGCAGAGAGGCTGGTAGGCAGATTATTGTTACCTTTGGACATAGCCATCCTAGCTATTTCTCCAAGTCTGCTGTGTTTATGCTAAGTTAAGCTAACCGGCTGCTGGCTCTAGCTTTAGATGGAACAGACAGATATAGCAGTAGGATGAATCTTCTCGTCAAACTTTCTTCAAGAAAAGGAATATAATGTCAAACTATTTTATTAATTAATTGAAATACAAAATGAGTTTAGGGTGAGGATTAAGATTACTTTATGGTTAGTTGATAGTTACTACGGTTAAGTTTAAAGGTTAAAATGTGTTTACGATTGAGATGGAAGAAAGGAAATTTAATCTTTGGATGTCTTCAAAAGTACAGTAAGAAGTGTGTGTGTGTGTGTGAGTGTGTGTGTGTGTATGTTTACGCATTTGAAATACAGTTGCAGTTACAGTTTTGTTTATGTGAGCTGCTGCCAGCTTATAAGCTTTTAAGAAAATGCGGGTCAGCAAGAATACAGACAGAGATCAATGGAAAGAAAAGAAGAATGGCAACTTATTTCTGCCAGGGAACAATCAGCAGGTTTGGGTGATACACCTAGGGGTAAAAAAAAAAATAGAAACCATGCACACTCCTGACGGCAGTCTATCTGAACGTACATAACAAGGTGATGGCAAAGCAATAAAAGCTCAACTCAGCCACTTAAAGAATCTGCCCAACACGAGGGAAGGAATAAGAAACAGAAACTTAACTGTGATAAAACCATCAACTTGTTCAGAAAGTCATTTTTTTCAAGAAAATGTCTTTCTCTGAGGAGATAGAAAAGTTTACAAAATCTAAAACAGATTTTCAATGGAACTCCTTTACCATTTAAAGCTGTTATGTGTTATACAAAAGCTTTGCCAATATGGATAAAAAAAATAGATGGATGATGAATACTTTTTTTAAAAAATGACTGCATCCCATTCACAAGACACTTCGGAACAAAGAGTTTGATTGCAACAAGAGTTTCAAAACACACCAGCATAACAAGTCAGATCAGACAATACCGCTCTCTCTTTCTCTGCCTGTCTCTCTGCCGTCCTCTCTTTGAGATAACCCGTAATTTTGCATGTAAATGTCATCAACCCCGGCAAAAGAAGGGGAAACAGATCCAGAGTGATGTGAGCGTGAACCGACCTGATATAAGATTTTCCATTTACTGATAATGACGCACTGACATGCACACGCACATGCTGTGAAAACAATAACACATGAGCTCATGCAACTGCAGCCTGATCTGTCCCGGAGACAGTGTATACATCAAGAGCTGCTGCAGTAACTTCCTCCTAGATAAACTTGCATAGCTGTTTACGGCTGTGGTGTGAACAATAATAAAAATTTCATACTGCGCTGCTGGGCTTCTTGAATGAGATACATTTCAGCAATATCACATCATCTAGCTCCAGGCATATAGGACTGTTTACTGAGAAAGGTTTCTTTTTCTCTTCACAGACCCTATTTCAATGAATATGAAAACATATGCACACGTTGTAGGGCGGACAATGATAAAAATCAGTTAGTAATTTTATATCACAATACATATATATGTATATAGTACATTTCTGGAAATTGGAGATACCAAATGGGAATGTTTGTTTTTTTACTATATTGTTGCAAAAACCAGTAAAACATAACTAGAACTGCTACATTCAGTTATTTCAAATGCACTTAAATAAGTTTCACACAAACAAATTTCATCAGTGTCACGTAAACAAGAAACCTGGAGAATCCTGATTACTCCTGGATAACGCAACTTTCTTGCCCATGTATTATGTGTAACCAGGTTTGAAATTGGATTAGGGCATGTGCATGACAAGGACCTGTAATAACTGATTTTTTTTTTGTTATTTGAGGATAGCAGAAACAAAATATGTTACACTACACTTCCCAGCAGATCCAGACCAACACCAGCGTTCATTTTGAGGTCGCTTTCTGGCCACCTGGTGAATACTGACAAAGGACCCACATTATAGTCTCTATGATGCACTGATACACAGTACAATGATAGACAGTTTCCAGTATGGGGTCATGCAAAGCACAACCACAACTTCTTTTAACTCTTTCATTACTACAGCAACAAAAATCAAAGCGTGTATTGGGAGAGTGGTCTTTTGCTTCATCTGGGAACAACCTCAACCTCCACCCTGTCTGTGTGTCACTGTGTTAATGTGTAGTGTGTAAAGGTTTTTTTTTTTTTTGGTGAGAGAAGCTTGCACTTAACCACAAAGATCAAGGCAGAGTGTGTTTGTGTGTGTCTTTGTACATAAGCTCAAATGCCTGTGTGCGTGTATGTTCTTTTGAGAACTCAATGACACAGAGGGGGCACTTCAAAGCACCTCTTTCATCAGCTAGAGAAGCAAAGTAGGCACCTACACACTCTCTTTGTCTCTCTCTCATGACTGTGTCTGACTTTGTGTGTCTCTTACTATGGAGGACTAACTACACATACTCATAATGCAAGTTATTTGGAAAAAGAGTACTTGAAAATAGTATAAGCTGTGTTCATTTTCAGAAAAAGTGAGAGAAAGTGAGCCTGATGTTTTCCTGAATGAGCTATTTGTCTCTAAAAAAGTTTGCATCAAATCCACAGCAACAGAGCAACAGATACGCAACAGTCTTCCACTTAATATCTTGGTTGGCAAGCTTCAGCAGTTCACTTGGAATAAAATCAATAGGCTGAAGATTTTCACAGATACTTCTTTTCTCTCAATTCAAGTAACTTGAGCTAAGCCTTAGGGGCAGACTTATCACTATAACCTTGCAGTTCAAACACTGCCTCCAGCAGTAAGTACAGGACTACTGAGAGGCAGAAAAGTAGCAAAGTGAAGAAACAGAGTGCTTGAGGACATGGGATAACAGAAAGAGAAGTAGTTATGCAGTGCAAACTAACCAGCTGGCCCCAAAGTGTTTCTTGGTTGCTAAGAACAAAGATATTCGAAGGCGGACCGCCCGGACAAGGTTGAACTCTGCAAGTTGACGCCGAGCTGTGAGCTGTCAAGCGTTGGAGGTGCAATTTGAGAGTAGCATCACCTTGTGAATGGTGACGCCAAACTGACACTCTCTCTCTCACTCTCATGAGCACACAGTACACACTTGTGAGCGAAAAGTGTTGCCTTGGGTTCTAAAAATAATGTGACTATAAAAGTAGTTCCCATATGAATAAAAAAGAAAAAACATTTGAAAAAGGGGAACTGCTACTCTCATATTGCTGTAAAAGAATCACATGTGCGAAGAGAAAAACTTTTAAATACTTTTAAAATCCACCACCATTTTATTATACTGTATTTCTATCATTTTTTGTAATATAATCCTCTGGGCTGCTGTGTCTATGAATGTTTCTCAATGTCTTATCACATCTTATCTTGTGCACGGCCTGCTGAAAATCAGAAACACAGACTATGTCAAAACAATTTTTGGTTTTTGTTAGCGAGTAGAATTTTATCAGCTACAGCTACACTATATTCTAGAAACAAATTTACAAGACTTCGCTTGAGTCCTGTGGTGTATACAAGGCCAAAACTGCTGCATGGTGAGCTTTTTTTAGCAGTATTAGTAGTATTTGTTACCCCTGCTGGCAGATGGCCTGGTGCGGCTGCGAGACCGGCTTCGCTGACGCTGCAGTCGGGACTTGCCAAGGAATCTGTAGTAGTATGAGGGTCTTCCAGATCCCTTCCTAGTGACCCCAGCCATGGTGCTGGTTTCCACTCTGAGGCCCACCAACAACGAGATATCTCAGCAGCACTGAAAACAAGTCCTCTTGAATCTGGTATCAGTGCAGATAAACTCCTGGCAAAGTTCTCATGGAGTGCGACTGTTTATCGCAACCTTCACTTAAGAGCCCTCTTGCAGTCACTCACATCTACTGAAGTCCTCGTGGATTTTGTCGTGATCAAATCCAATCCATAGTGAAACCATCAAACATCCACTTCTGTTCAATCCTGTCCCACAAGCTCAGACTTCTGCTCCACCTTTGAACACTCCCCCTCCAAGTTTCCCACAGCCAGATCCCAGAGGCATGATGTCCGGAATACTGTGTGTGTGTGTATCCTGAATGACAGGAAAGCTGTTCCTGTTCCCAGTGCCAGAGTGCACTAAAGGAATTTTATAGACAGTCAGAAAGCCAGTCCCTCTGTTTCATAAAGCAGTAAAGGAGTCTCTTGTAACACAGTTCTATACATCCAAAACCCCTATCTTCAACTCTGTGCGAGTGTTTGTAAAAGACTGAGAGTATGCTTTGTGGTGGAGAACAACAGGAGAAAAGTTTAGGCTGCATAGAAAACATGCATAGATAAGGTCTGATGGTGGAATGGAGTTAACATGGCAGCCATCAGATTACAGATGTTTTAATTTCCTCCATCATCCAAACTATCCTCTACAAACTCACAGATAAGAGAACATCTGGTGCAGTAAACAAGTCTAACTTTTAAAAAATAAATGACCAACTCCCACTCTTAGTGAGTCCTGATCCAGTCAGTCTGAGTCACATTCCTGGTTTTACAATTGAACCACTTTAATTTGCCTCCCTAGGCAAGATAGGCATGGCAGGGAGTGACAGCCTATCAGAAGCAGATGTAAATAGGCTGTTAAGAGTGTCACACAGCCAATCAGAGTGTGCTCTGAAGGAGAGGGTCAGGCAGATGGACCATAGTCCACAATCAAACACATGCTCAATTGCAAGGATGCATGTATGTGTTATTTTAATATGAAAACTGCATGTTTCATGAGGACACAAGTTTTTTTCATGACATAATGTGAATTTCTATACTATATATATCTGTAACATCTGAGTCAACAGTCTGCCAGCCGCACATACTTTCTATATTTGCCCTGCTTACGAAGTAAACAAACTACTCTAAAGCAAACGGGGCGAATGCGAGGGACAGTCAAGTGATTCCTTCTGATTCCAATCCACGTCTCAAGTCTTGGTTTGAAACCAAGGCAACAACATTCAAGTCCTACCAGGGACCCTTCAGAGCCAGAACCTTACTGTCCCAGTCCCCAAGAACAGTGTTTGTTAGGAGTGATTAATTACATGATATGTTTAAACTTAAAAACCTTATAGCCTTACTGAATTAAAATAAAAGGATAATAAAATGACTAAATCATAACTCCGTCGACTGACGAAGACTTTAATGTATAAATATATATATATATATAATATGAAGGTTTACACTTAATAAATAACCTAATTAGTGAGTGAATTTCCACTGGTAACCACATTGTAACTTTTTTGGGAAACATAGAAGAACTGTAAAGTTAGCATCTGATGGCAATGGCTGAACTCTGATACAAAAGAGCAGTACACACAGAAACTTAAAATCTATCAACAGAAGAAAAAATTTGAGGCAAAATTCACCGAACCGACCGTGCTGTGAATGACAAGTGACTTTTGTGAAGTACATTAATAAAACTACTATGTACACAAAGACATCCCCGAATGAAAATGCTGATATGCAAACAAAATCCCATGAAACAGTCACAAATATGCACAGTGATGTACAACAGCCTGAGAAAACCCCCCCCGCATATGTCAACCTCTTTCTAACTGACATCTATCTGGGTGCCAAGATAATTTATTTGTCTTCCTCTCCTGCTCTCTCATACTCTCCCTTCCGCATTACCTTTCCTTCCCTCTATGGCTGCTCAATTGTTCACTGTGATGCCGCTTGTTGCTAGTGAGCGCATTGGGGACCATAACACTACATGCTGTGTGGGGTTTTTTGTCATTACCTCAGCCCATAAACTCACAACCACAGAATGCAGTAGCGTGTGTCTGTATGTCTCTAACATAGACCTGACTGTTCCCCCGGTCCCACAGAGAGCATTTAGTAGGAACATTAGTAGGTATATATATCACTCGAGATCAAGCCAGAGCCACGTGCCGGGTAGCAGAGGGAGCGTAAAGGCCTTCAACTTCCACACTGCTGCTGCGGGGCTCATGAAACACCCCGAAGACACTGTTCTCTCACTCTCACAGAGATACCAGTGATAGGTTTTTAAGACCTAGTCTGTAATGTCACATAAATACAAACAAATTAGGGTTTTAACTGAACTCATATGGCTAACAGTAATTCCAATTCATGCACACAAAAGAGACACGTGGGAGGCCAGACTGCTTTTTTAAATTACAAAGCAGAGTGATTTGTCTTGCCTGCATAATAGTCACTGTGGGAATAGCTACCTACAGTGAGTTCTTGTTAGACAGGAGCCTATAGACAGGCAGACCAGAGAATCAGGGTCACGCAGAGTTCGTGTGCTGCTGCTGGCCTCCTCTGGTCCGACGACAAAGACACCAGTGAGCAATGAAAGGGCTAATAAAAGGTCAAGAGAAAGTAAACCACTGGCTTTTGTTTCATTGTGAATGCCAGGTGTGAACTATTGCATTATGGGACAGGACCCAAGTATCATTACAAACTGGTCTGTAATGTTGAATATTATATATACTAAAGCTTGTTAGCCTTTTTGCTATTATCCATATACATCAGATTCAACTGGTTAAAGGAGAAGTCTTGTAATATTCTATAACTTATAGTCAAGTCTGACTAGACCAAACCAACAATTAGTATATTTTCATCTTTGCCGTGCTGCCAAAGCCTGCTATATATTATTCCTCTGTATCTCTGTTGTTGTCCAGAAACTATTAAAAACACATAAGCAACAGTTCTAACAGTTTATAACTATAAACAGGGGCATTGTAGTTTATTTGTAGTCAATATGACCAACACTGTCCTGCTGCCATTAATTCTAATGCAGCTGCAAACAGTCCCTAGCAAATGTATCTACTTTTATTTGAAGATGTTTTCTAAAAAATACCCCAGGTGCCCAGGTATTTACCAAAATAATTTAATCTTTTTAAAAAGTCTTTAACCTGTTTTTAAAATTTAACATCTTTAGTAGAAACCAGTGGGTTTGGGACTTGAGACTAATGCGTCGTTGGTTTTAGTCGTTTTGTTGACAATGACAAAAATATTGAATATTCTTTATGTCTAACATGGTGCTGTGTGTTTTTACTTGAATGCACTTTCTACTTGAATGGGTTGCCATAAAAATAATACTGATTTGCAAGTTTCTTTACACACTTTGAGGGCATTACTTCAAAACCAGGCATTTTCACTAGGTATTTAATAGCCCACTTTCCAGTCACTAAGCATACTGAATTGTTAATTTACAAGAGCAGAGTGGAAAAAATTTGGAAACAACAAAGTCGTGCAGGCAGACACAGACACACTAATGACTTGAATACAAAGTATATCAAGATGCATTTACTTTATTGTTGTGATAAGCACAGGCCATTAAGTGTGCTGAGTACAGAATCATCAAGTCGGAGACAAACATCTAGTGTGCTGTTTGCCAGTGAACTTATATATAGCCTACTTCCTGTTCCTCTGTATGCGCAAAAGACAGAGGACTCAACAACAAAGACCTAATGTTAAGGTTAATTGCACCAGATGTGGCCATTCTATGTTACTAACACGCAGTTGGAGGAAAGAATATGTCTATGTCATTTCAGGTTAAAGTAAAGGTTAATGTCTTTCTTACCTGATGAAGAGACCAATGGAAGGAAGAGTTGAATCCGCATGGCAGCAAACAAGAAAGAAAAAACAAACAAGTACAAGTTAGAACAGCTGGAACTGAAAAAAACTTCTATTTTTTATTATTATTATTTTATTCACTTCTCAGTAGCATGAAAGAGTTCAACGTGTGCAGCTTTTAGCAATGCATAGTAAACCTAACTCAACACTGCAAGATTAAAAACACTTAACACTTCCACTTTTCATCTGCAGTGCATAAGTTCTGAGGGTTATCATACTTTAACTCACCTATCTATTCCTTTAACACATGTATACAAGAAACTTACCTAACCTTTTTAACCTCTAAAACATAGCTTAGAACAACCGGTGAAGTATCCAGCTGTGGAGGAAATGGAACTAATTCCACTTTCAGAGCGAACAAAAAGACAAAGAGAGATGTATCGATTCTTAGCACGGCTCACTCTATTGTCTCCACATGGATAGTGGGCCTGACACAGAAAGTGGCACATACTGGCTTTTACAACTGAAATATAGCCGGCCATTAGAGCAAAACACCTCGGAGGGAGTCACAGGGATTAGATTGCTTTGAAATAACAAGAGCAAACCAGTATGTGATAAGAAACCATAAAGATTCAAGGATTGAGTGTCCAGGCAAAACTTGTTCATCTGGAAATGACAAAACATATTAGTATGGATTACGAGCAGTGGATAAGACAGAATTGATAGCTACTGCTGCTTGAATCTCCTTGGGCAGATAATAGCTTACCCTCTAAAAGACAACTTGACTTTACTATATGTAATAAAGTCACCACTACTTTGGTGTAAACAGCAGTAAACTCTTAAAGATGCCAGACAGAGAACAGAGTGTGCGGTCTTTATCTTTCTCTCTCTGCCTCGAGTCCTAGTTCTGAAGTGGTGGTGCTGTTTAACTGTATTCAGTTATACAGACAGGTGTTTCTGTTATTTAGCTCACCCTCTCTGATATAAATGGGGTGGACAAAACAACACCTGTCAGCAGTATATTGCAATACAATCCAACAGCACCACAAACTGCAGCCTCTAAAACAGGGACATCAGATTCAAATAGTTGCCAGCTAACTCTGGATGCCATTACTTTTAATTATGCACTGTCCCTAAAGAACAGTGAACAAAATAAAGAAATACAACAAATGTATAAATAATTATGACCATACAGTTGGATCAACAGCTCAGACAGTGTCAACAAAAAGTGAACACTATAACCTTCATAAAGGTAGGATTTATTGCAGGACTATTGTATTAGAGTGCATTAGTTTTAGCTAGGTGTACCTAATACACTGGCGACTGAGTGTACATGATGGTACAGTGAAAGGGCTGCAACAAACAATTATTTTCATTATCTCAAATAATAATTAGTCTGTATATTTCAGATAATGTCCATTGTCCAGGGCCAAGTCATAAAATTACTTTTTACAATAAACTGTGTAAAATCCATAGATATTTAATGTTTTCAATTTTAGCATTTGCAATAACTATTTACCAATTATGGAAATATTTGGAACAATATCATTTTTTCTGTTGGTTGTTTAATTGACTACTCAACTCTTACAACTGTTTACCTTAGTCATTATCTTACAACACAATGCGATTGTGATCATGTGGAACGCTATGTCTGTAATATATCCTGTGGAGCCAAATGGCAGATCAAAGCTGTATCAATACTGACCCCTTGTGGAGATCACGGTAATGTACAACTGATGGTAACAGCACTCAGTTATGACCCTTCAAACTGCCGATAAATTGCTATTGCTAGATGGCTTTAACAGATGCGGACACATAAAATGCACCCTGAGAATGACTGTGGATCGTCAGGAGAGGACCAGTATTTACTGAAACGTGTTGCACCACATTGCAACAAAAACTTAGGTACCTTATAAAATCAAAATGAGTAAAACCGGACTGCACTAGAATATTAACTCCAGTGCAGTTTTCTTGTTGTGGTTGGCTTGGGTTATACAGCAACACAGTAAAAAAAGGTCAGAAAACAATAGAGAGAGTTAATCACATGGTTTTACAGCAGATGTATTATTGTGGTCCACTTTGAAATAACATGCTGGCTAACTGCACTCCAACATCTTAATAATACCGTCCAATCAATTCCTAATCTGAATTAATCCGCAAAAATTTGGCGGAGAAAGGACAAACAGATGGACGGAGAAATCAACGACCCCTCTCTAAGGGGAGAGCGTCTGTTCTCCAGCGAATGTTCTCATCACAAAGAAAGTGGAGTGTTTGAGTGGATTAAAGGGATGAAGATCAAGAAGATCAAAGTCCATCTCAAATCTCTGGCTGGCTGAAGTGACTTTTAACGAATACACAGACACGGCATACAGAAATGCACTTATTTACTTAAGTGTTTATAGAAGAAAATGCTGACTTTAAGATGAAAATACTGCTGTGAGATTAAACCTTTAACAAACACATGGTTAGCATGTTATTGCTCGCCACAATATAAAATGTCCTCATTATGTCACAGGGTCTACTCTAGTGTCTGACTTATAAAAGGGAGACCAAGATGGCTTACTTCATCATGAAAACCCCATTTCTGTCCCTTGAACTAGTGAGAATCGTCCAGCATCTGCAATAGGATTTTAATCAATGTCGTACCTGAAAGTTACATTTTCACATGAATTGTAAAACTACAAAATGACTTCTATGTATACTGTGAAACTGTGCCAACCACATCCAACCTGGAGATAAACAGATGGCAGTGAGGTGATGGACAGCTGACATTTTAATTTGTAGTAAGATGGAAGATTAAAAAATGTTTGACTATCAGTGCCTGTATGTGTGCTGTGGGTTACTTTTTAAGAAAGTCCAGAAAGTTAATTTTAAAATAGGTTTGACCATACTAACTAATACCACTGCTGCTATAGTGACAGCCTGGTGCCATCCATCCATGCTGTCTTTTCTTCCACCTCTTATTCATACCTCCCACTCCCTCTTGGCCCCAGAGTAAAGGCCAAATTGCAGAATGTCCCGTCCCAAGCAGAACTCATTATACAAGACTAGAGAACAGAAGAACAGAGGAGTCTGTGTGACACTGCTGGCCAGAGACAAACAGATACGCAAGATGGAGGAGGAGGAGGAGAGGGGTGAACTCTTTGTCGCAATGATTAAAAGGAATAAAGAGCCAAAATAAGGAGTGAGAGAGAGGGAGGAAGAGATGAGAGAGGTCTCGCTAATGAAGCAAACACTTGAGATGAGCTGGGCGCAGACAAACCTCAGGCAATGTTGTTTTCAAATTTAATTTCAAATGTGCCATGAAAAGTACACAAAGTCATACACATTCATGGACCATCATGCTCAGTCACACGCAACCTGAACTCATACACAGATTCTATACATGCACACACACACACATATAATGTCCACTGGTTGTCACAAGCTAAGCATAATAATAAAATGCTTTATATAGATAAAGCATACATAAACTATATATTACTATATTAAAAAACTGCCTTCTTGAAACTTTATATGTTAATAACACGTCAAGAACCATGGAATCAGGCTCTGCCATCCAGCCCTGCAGTTCATGAGATAGTCACCTGATACTGTAAATGCAACAAGGGGATTTCCATTCTGTGATAAAAGTATAAAAGCATTCTTTTCATTACGAAATGTTCACAGTTCTGAATGCCAGATCAGACAGTTCGCTTCAACAACGGATGAGCAGCCAGAAAAAAAGGCATTCAGAGAAAGGGACATTAAAAGCTAACAGCTAGCATTCAGGCTGTCATCCATTTCTGCAGGTGACCTGGCAAATACACGGTCGCTGTCTGCTATTGTAGTGGATTACATCCAGGCTTCTCTATACCTTTCTCTATCACTCCCATCTATAAAAAAAAGCTTATTATTATTCTTTGTAGTCACAGTTTCACATGTAATGTAATGTGAGCGGCAAAAAAGATGAGAATAAAGTCCTTAACAGCAAACAAATTCAATAGATATTCATTAGATCCAGATGTGTTATCATATGCCTTCTCACTGCACACCCAACACTGCTTCAGGTGAGGGATACAAAAAGCACGGTGCTGTAGTGTTATTTCATAACGCGCTTATTGGCAGTCTGGCTGTGTAGATTTAAGCTTAGCTAGTAGTCCCTCCTGTGGCTTGTCTTATCTTCCTCCCCCACTGGTGGGCTTCAGATCTTATAGGCCCCCACAGAACTCCAAAACACACCAGAGAGAGAATCCTACGAGACTGAGGTCCGCCAACACTATTTCTGTTCATGAGCCCATATCACATAGCACTGAACAATACAAATAACACCTAGTCTTAAGTTGTTGACCAATGCTTGTAGCTAGTTTGTGTGCACGTGTGTAGAATCATGTAACTTAACTGTATAAATGCATTAAGCAAGATATGGCTTCTTTAAGACCCAAACTCCTCAAAGTCTCCTCCTGTTGTTCTCTCTCCCTATTCCATCAAAGTTCAATTTAATTATACTTCATATGCAAAATACATTTGGCATACAGTAATTGAGTAGTAAAAAGTACACAGAAACATAGATATAACAATGATAAGGTACATGTAAAACTATATAATAAGTATAATAAGTAATCAATCATTTTGTGTAAGAAAAATGTGAAAAATACACATCACAGTTCCCCACAGTCTAGGGTAACTTCCTCTCTTGAGTTGGCATTTAATTCCCTTTTGATTTACTTATTATTTTAATTCTACCTATTACTTTTATACTCTGTTTCTCTCACACACACACACACACACACACACACACACACACACACACACGCACAGTGAGGCCATGTGCATCAAAGAGACAATGTCAGGATTACAGAGTGAATAGCCCACATTCTGTTGTTGACATTTAAGCGAAAGCTTACACAGGCAAATCTGTTCCAATCAATTCACTGTAGATCAAACAAATAAGCGTCCGGCTGGGAGCAGCAAAACAACACACAGGATAAAGGATCACAGACTGCATGGCTAGCCACATTCT